TTCGCACACCACCAATCAGTCTTTGCTCGTTCGTTGAATGGGTAACATCCTACACTACATCATGAGTAAAATGAGTTCTCCATCAGTCGTTCAAAAGGATGCAGAGGAAGCAGCATTATTGGATCAAGAAAACCATCAAGAAATCGTCAATGAAATAGAAGAATTTTTAAAGTTTCGAAAACAAGAAGACAAAGAAAACAAGGAGGACAAAGAAGAAAAAACTAAAAAAAATGGCACTAAGAGGAAGCGGAAAGATGAAGATACAATCCCAATTAATATTTTGAAAGAAGTTTTCCTACGCATTTACTATCCTATCTCACTATGTTTGGGTAAAAGTGTAACAGCTGGACTAATGAAATCATCGGAATATACACCTACAGTAATCTTGCAGCATGGTACAAAAATGGTTATATTTTCTGAAACGGCATGGGAATCTTTTCTAAAACATTTAAATCTAATTGAATGTTACTTAAATACTAATGTTTGCGGAAGGAAAACTAATATTCGACTTTTGGATTCTGACAATGAAATTGACATAGTAAAGAATCGTGGAACACTACAAGTACGATTTAGAGATTTAACTCAACATGAAAGTAAAATTTTACTCTCACGTGAAGAATTCTACATTTTAATGCATGCAACGTCTCCTATCTCTAGATATATGAAACAACTTGTATTCTCAAGTTCAATCATCAAGGAGTATTTAATTGACACACTAGAAAAACAACCGGAAAGCACCATATTATACGGACACGTGGATACATCTATTTTTAATAGATTGCCTCATGAAGTTGGTATGTGGAGACAGTTAAGGAACTTCGAATCAATTGATGAAGAAGCGATAGAAGCTGTTGAAGAATATGAAACTATAAACCAAGAAGAACCAGCAACCCAAGAAGTGTAATTAAAGAAAACAGTATAAAAGAGTGACCAAGGCGCGGTGTGAATTCAGTTGAACACTATACGTGGTGGTGTGTAGATAGGGTTAAACATTATGGATATGAAACCCTGTGTAATAGAATTTCAAGCATTTCGTGATAACAAAGATGAATTTGTGATAAAAGAATTAGTGATTTTAGATTTGATTACACATGTCGTATACCCGTTTATATTTGAAGCTCCATTTTCAGTAAACCAATTGAATGACAAAGCAAGAAGAACAAACAAATGGATAACTAAACATTTTCACCATATTCAGTGGAACGAAGGATTGATAAGCTATAAGCACTTGAACAATATCATGTATCATTTTTCTAACAAGTTTTCCCATATTTATACAAGAGGATCGGAAAAAAGACAATGGATACAACAATACACATATCACGATGTTTTCGACATAAGAATGGACAAGGATCATCAAATTAATTATGGACCTATTTGTACTTTAACAGATCACTCTTATCGCACAGTAACACAATGTGCACTACAAAACGCATACCGATTAGCTAATTTTCTAGTTCTTCACTATTGGGACAAAAATAAATTCAAACAGCAACAGTGGAAGTATTACGAAGGAAATAGCAGTGGAGGGGGGAACGTGTGCTATAAATACAGTGGACAGTCTCAGGATCCTCATCAGTATTACTCCAGACATCGCAGAGGCAACATCTCACAGGGTAGTCCTAATCAAGAAAATGGCTTCACAACAGTTTCTCCAGTCTTTGGTGGATCAGTTCAACACCCAGTCCAAATCCAGCATTCTAAGTACTAAGAAATGTCACGAATTGAAGGAACACAAACACTACATCGTTCACGAGCTGAAGAAGACAGAAACTTCACATGGAGACGCAATTTTAGCATCACTGAGCGAGGCACCGTTTTCACCAGGTGATGAACCGAAATTTCAAGTTTATCTTCCAAGACGATTTGTGCAGCAACTACAAAACGAAGACCTGCGAGGTATTCAACCAGGATCCCTCTATTTGGTATCACACGGAGTTTGCGGAAACAATTCCACTGAACTATCTCTACACATCACCCATCAATGTTAGTTTTAAGTTTTTTTCTGTAAATAACCATCTATGTACATATGTTTGTTAAATGTTTTTGTCATTAAAAAAATAAATAAAAAAATTAAAAGAGGAAACAACATATCAGCATATAATTAATTCTATATGCTGATATGTTGTTTCTTTTTTTAAAATTCAAACAAATGACCTTGAACTTTTTACTATAAATAACAGGTCCTACACGCAGTTGCTCTCAGTCTTGTTTCAACAATTCACCGAGCATCATGTCACAGCGTAAATATAATTTACCTTTTGTTTACAAATCCAAATACGATTTGGATAACTATTGTTGTAATTTAAAATGTTTTAGAAAGCCTGAGAGTAAAGTTGATGGAAAAGCTTGTAAAAAATGTGAGTCTGTTGGCTATTGCAAATGTAGGTGTAAAACATATCAAGACAAGCATCAAAATTACATACACGATCTAACACAAATGGTTAACCTACTATGGAAAAATGTAGACTAACTTGTGGCAGATGCATGAGAGCTGCTAACTCTTGCACTATAAATAGCAGCTCACAACACATTGCTTTTCATTCTTGTTTTAGAATTCAGTCGAGCAACATGTCACAGTGTAATTCAAATTCATCTTTTGATCCCAAATCGGAATACGATTTAAAATACTATTGTTGTAATCTAAAGTGTTTCAAAACACCTGAATGTCAAGTAGATGGAATGGCTTGTAAAAAATGTGAATCGTTCTCCTATTGTCAATGTAATTGTAAAACGTATCAAGAAAAACGGAAACATCACTCACAAGACAAGGGACGTAGAATCAAAATACTTTTAAAACGGATGGAATGATACCCTCATGATGCTCTCCCCCACCTCTACTACTTTCCCCCACCCCTACTGCTTTAGCTCCGCCCACTTCGTCAGGGACCTGCACTTCTTTACACGCAACAGTCACTTCGCATCCAGCTCTTCACCAGTCAACTCAACCTTTCTCCTTTACTTTGCACAAGATGGCCAACCTACAACAACAACAACGACAGTGGACAAGCGATATTGAAGACTCTGACCTACACCAAGCATGCATCGAAGCAGAAGAGCAAGAGCGAAAACGAAAGGAAAAAAACTACTTCAACTGCTAGAGGAGGAGAAAGAGATTCGCCGCAAATTTGATCGTGTTTGGTGCGCTCAGCCTCGAGACAACATCGAATGGGCCGAGCACAATGCAGACATGGCAAGATGGAAAGAGCTCCATAATACAATAGAGGAGTTGAAGAAGTAAACATCCAAATACACAAGCGTCGCCGAGCTACACAAAACGGCCTTTATAAAGGCCACCAATAACCTCATTCGTTTTACACTTTAGCAGACGCTCACTCTAGATACGCACGTTCGCACATGTTTTCCTTATTAATTGTAATAGTATATAAGTTATTGTCATCCCTCATGTTTTATACAAATAAACAATGAACAAAACAAGGAAGCTATCCTACACTATAAGTGTAGGGTAGCTTCCTTTTTTTAAAACACAAACAAATGACCTTGAACATCATATGATCACCCTCATCTAAATCTATCATTTAATTGTATAAACTGTGTTTCGCTCGTTAAACAATTAAAACAGTACCCACATACGTCACAAGTGACATACGACCAAAACCACCTGCTCTTACGTAATTTCCTCCGAATGCCCTTTAAAATAATTAACTTTGTAACATCTGCTAACATCTGCCCGACAGCTGTTGGCGGTGAACTGTTACTATGACACTACTTTATCTGTTAGACGGTTCCTGTAAATCTAATAGTTTCTGAGATACCAACGGTGACACGCTTAAAGTTATTCACCCTTTACATGGAGAATCCCGTCAATTGTTAATTTCATACAAACCATTGGTTGAACGGAAAAATATTTCTCACCAAGCCAACCCAAGAATGTACTAAATCCAGAGGTTCATAATTTCAAATCTCACAATTGTCAAATAAATACAAACATAAGTTTGTATTAACAACTCAAAAATAATTGTAATTCAAAAAGTTTAGTACAATGAGAGTGTGATCAATTTTATTCGCTTGAAATGGTGGTTCCATGCGGAAAATTGTGTACTATTTTCAATGCAAATATCTCTATTTGAACGAAATCTGACATTACTATCCAAGCTTTATTATTTTGATATGCAATACTATAATAATATTGTAAAACTGAATAAAAACAAAAACAATTTTTTTATAATTGTATAACCAAAATTTATTAAAAAATAGTATTGTATGTCAAACTGGTTATCGTAATTGCATGTATGATACTATTTGAATTCATTGTGTTAAGCTGTGACACTTTTTTGTAATTATTGTTTTGTAATACTGTAGGCCTAATACATTGTAGTATTGCGTATCAAAATCCTGTATATTAAAAACTTGTGCAAAACTTATGACAGAGCCTGACCATATTACTGGACTGAATTACACGCGGGTTGTGTACCAAAAGAATAGATTATCGGTCCTATATGCGCAGGTTTTATTTGTATTTTGAGAATATTTATGTTAATCGGGTCAAAAATGGAAGTTAAACTTTTCTTATGGTGATTTAACATGGGGTTAATTCTATATATTAAAAGACAAGCATGTTTATTGATAACCTTTTTTCTCAGCTCCTGTGCATGGTAGAGAAAATCTACATACTGTTAGAAAGATATTTGCCTGTATATGTGCAGAGAATCCCTTCATAAATTAAAACAGGCTCAAAAATAAGCACAACATATTAATTTAAATTAAAAAAAAATTACATGGGTTACCTTGTTGGTGACGAAATAACAACAAAATATAAACAGAAAATCAAAACAAGTGGAAAAAATTCCAATCACATGTTTTATTTAGAGCGTGGGGTGAAAGGGAAGTTTGCACAATACATAGTTTTGGTCGAGTTTTTCACCACGGGCTCTATTAAGACCTATTTGAAATCGTTTATTTTATGCTTTAAATGGCCATTTGGCAATGCTCGGTCCTCTGATATTGTAAAATGACATTGTAAAATACTGAATATTTACCGTTTTAGTGATTGTCGCCGACGTTGTCGGTTGTCCAGCTGTTGAGTCTGGTCCAGCAGCCTCCAAAACAGGACTATTCTGTCCGGCAAACACGAGAACGAACAATATGGTGGCATTGATCATTCTCGTCTCCTTGAAAAATTAAAAATATTTATAAAAACAATTTACTCCTGTTGATGTTTATAAAAACAGAATAATAGCGAGAACAGTATCAGAACGTTACCCTATGCTATGTTGTACAATTATTTTTCTAATGCGATATTACATGTTACCCACTATGTTTACTTACCTTTAGTCAGAAGGCTGTGCAAGTTGTGAAACGGATGGTGCCTAAATAGTCGTTGGCGTACATATTATGACGCACGTCAACATACGTGTGTATATGGGGCAATTAAAGCAATTTGTACTACTGATGGATAGCAACATATCCACTTGTATTTGGCATCAGTTCAAAAATACGTCCATCACACAAGTTTATTTGACAGATTTAGGCCCCTGTTAGGCCAGGCCATACTCACCTTACCTTGCTTATTTTTTTCACTAGCATTACCCATGTGTTTGAGAGATACATTACAGTAGATACACTATGTGGCTAAATTACAGGATCGACTAAGCAACACAAGTACCTCTCATCCCATTGTAAATTAATTGTTCAGCTTGTTTTTGTGTCTAGTTCGTGTACGTCCACACTGATCGCTGGGGTAGATAAAATTTTATTTCAATTATTTAAGGGTTATTTTCATGTTAAGCAGTTCGAATTAATAAAAAATGCCTCAAAATTCATAAAAACCATCTATACATTGTAGTTGTCATTCTCTTTCCATGAGAACATACCAATAAAACTATTTTCATTACTTAGACGATTTAAAAAAATCCAAAGCAGAGCCGGAGTTGATACAGCAACGGTCAAAACCCCATTTTTTCTATAATCATTGACATAGTTTTAGAATAAATAATCCATGATAAAACTTTTGATTAAATCTTACTAATATTATAAATCTGAAAGTTTGTGTGTGTGTTTTGCTCAATCACGCATAAACTACTAGACGCATTGGGCTGAAATTTGGCATGATGATAGCTCACATTCCCGATTAACATTTAAGCATATTCTTATCTCAAAAATCTTTTCGGGCTCCACCCCAGTGTCTCTGTAGTTCCCCATGTTAACCTTATGAGTATTCATATTTAAAGGGAATAAAAGAATTTAGTCAGCTGTTTCAAATAAAAAGGTTTGCTCTATGGTTTGCAAAAGTATTAAAAAGTTATAAGATTTTCCAACAGGGTGCAGCACTATTATTCTTTTTGCATTTATGAAAACAGCTAATATAATTTGAACTAAGCAGAAACAAAAAAAAACCTGTGATACACAATGAGAACTGTCAAAGAAGGATTGATTACAGTTATGTTTATGTTTTTAATTTCATAAATAATTTGTGATATTTTTCGAATTATTAATAATTTGTTTTTAGTGGTAGAACATTATGGCTATGGTACATGTGTAATAGTATAGTACTATACCTTTTATTTAAAGAAGCAAGAGTTATCAAACTGTGTTCAACCCCATTGCAAACAGAAAGCTTGAGTATAACTGCAATACACATTTTATACATATATGCCAACCCCGTACGAAGGACGGGTTCTATGCTAGTTAAGACATAAAACCCCGTATTAAACAACTTGACTTCCAATATTAGTATTAAAAAGTTGGTACACTTATTGGTAAGCGTATCTTAGTATCATAAAACCAAAAAGGTCTATGTACAATCTTTTCATAATTAATGCATAGAGCATAGGTGCATCGGCAGCACTTTTATATCTTCCCAGAATGAATGTGTCCACCACCTGAGTTAATAACAGACTTGTATATCGAGCTTCAGTATCCAATAGTCAATGGTCGAGGTAAGTGGTACAGTTGAATTTCGTTTCTAAATTAAATAGTCGATGTAAAAGTATTTTTACGGTGAGGAGTTTTGAGACTAGTCAAGTGAATTACCGCTAGATGTCGCTACCGTCGAGGCTCGCGACAGTTTACCTAGTCTCCGCTAGATGTCTCTTCAACCGATAATACTTAATCCACTATAATTCATATATTACTGATCGATTTTAAATGTTTAAAATATATACAAAATATACACAAAATTGGTTTTAGGTAATATGTAGTAAGCTTTACATTTTAAGTTGTCTTATTTTAAATTTTAAGCTGTCGTATTTGACAACAATACATTTTTATCGGTTGACACTCGCAGTGATTTGTTAGTTTCTCTTACAAGACTAGCCTCAACTGGTCCTGCCTAATCAAAAATATATACATCTGTAGTTAATTTCTTTTCTTTGAAAAGCCGAGAGTTGTGTCTCTTTAATTAAGTTGAGTCCGACGATTGGCTTATAATACAATACGTTACTTGTTTTAGTATGTTACCGCGTCTTCACCTGCTATGGTTGCTATGTTATAACCAATAACTATGTATCATACAACACAAGAAGTAATAACCCAGCCCAGAAAATAAAGGTTTTGTGTCGGAACCAATTAGTGACAAGACAAGCAAATCCTAGGTTTACAAAAATTACAATACCACTACTACTGTATATACTATACTATACCACTTATACTATATAGTTGAGCGGAGCGAGCGAAGCCCCAACTGGTCACTACTTGAGTGCTGTTTTAACTATACATTTATAATACAAATACTTTTGTACTAATGTACAAAATACTTTGATTCTTTAAGAAGCCGAGAGTCGTGTCCCTTACCTGAGACCGATGATTGGCTTATGAACACTAGTACAAAAACAATTAGCTTCTTGTACCTTGCTTGTACCCGCGTCTTTACCTACGGTGTATATCAAACAACATAAGGAGTAATAGCCTAGTCAATAAAGGTTTTTTAACGCCACAAATTAGTGACAAGCAATACTATATACTATACTATACCACTTATACTATATAGTGTAAATACTATACCATTATGTAGTACCATTGACTCAATGGTAGTACACACAAAGATATACGTTGTACCAAAAGTCCCCTAAAATTCCCTTCAGTGCTTTCCCCTCCACCCACTCCTAAAAAGTCAGGTTTTACCAAATAACGCATAAATACGATATGGCTCATTCGATTAGAATAATCTTCATCCGTTGTATTCCTTAGTAAAGTGTGTTATTTCTTACCGTGTATAATATTTATGGTTACACCATTGCAGGCGAAGCCGTGGGTACAAGCTAGTACGTTATAAAACTTTCCAGTAAGAGTAAATAAGAAAATCTTCACAGATGTGACATAATTAGTACCCTGAAGTAAACTTTGATCAGTAAAATTTTATCAAAAACCTGGCGACAACTTTAACATGGGGATGGAATGTCTAACCATACAGTTATTGTATAGTCAATTACTTAAACACCTACATTTAAATATTGTGCATTATTAAATGTTTTGTAGGTTATTTTGAAAGTGGTTCTTGATCTATATTTAAATTTAAAACATATTGCGTGGATTACGACTCACTAGCTGGTTTTAATGTCAAACATTTTAAAATTTTATCTTCTTTCTGATTCTTGATATATTATTACAAGTAAAGCGCAGTGTTTGGTTGACTACGGATATCTTATGAGAGGAAAGGAATTCCACATATCTGTCTGGACTGAAGCTATCCTCCAGACTTGGCTCTTGTTCAATGGAGAAACTAAAACACACACTCGCAGACGATCGCGAAGTGATCAGTTCATCATAACTGCCAGAAATTTATCTCAAAATTAGAGACGTCGGGGATAATATTTACAACAAGTAAGCCTGCAGTATTAGATAATTTAATCCTAAGGATCTTAAATAATAGAAAAGTAACAGTTTCAAGATAAGCTCTCTATTTGGTTGCTCTCAATTTTGGCTATACAACAAGAAATAAGGCAAATTCATATGCTGTTTTTTTTTATAAAACCGAAGAAAACATATCTTAAAACTTCAGTTGATCCATAAAGATCCTAAATAATATTAAGTGCGAATGTTGAATCAATATAGCATCATTTTAGAGTTTGTTACCCTTAAACCCTCAATTCAATACTTGATTGACTAACACAAAGACACAGACAAAGGCATAATTAAATATTAGCTATATATGGAAGAATCATTACCATTGGTGGAATGATAACCCCCAGACCCGAACCCGATTTACTTTTACATGTTGATTAGCCCAGAGAAAACATTGTGTACGAAGCAAAATTAAAATGCCTCACAAAAAGGCTATCTATATATATATATATAGCAAAGCCCTCACTGACTGACTGACTGACTGACTGACTGACTCACTCACTCATCACTAATTCTCCAACTTCCCGTTTACCTAGGAGACTGAAATTTGGTACACTGATTCTTTAGGCATTAAATAGGAAAACTAAGTGGTTTTATTCTGATCGGACTCTCGGGCTCCGCCCCAGTGGCTCTGGAGTTTCCCATGTTAACCTAATGAGTACTCATATTTAAATAGAATAAATGAATCTTAACAGCTGTTTCAATTAAACAAGTTGATTCTGTTCTAAGTTACAAGGATTACCAACAGAGTGCAGCACTATTTTTTTTTATATTTGACAACAGCTAATTTTAAACCAAAAGGTGAGTGAGCAAAGCGAACGAACTTCAACCCGGAGGTGAGTTAGCGTAGCGAACGAGCTAACCTGAAGGCAAGTGAGCGCAGCGAACGAGCTCCAACTTAAAGGTGAGTGAGCGTAGCGAACGAACTTCAACCAGGACGTGTGAGCGCACCGAACGTGCTACAACCTAAAGGTGAGTGAGCGTAGCGAACGAACTTCAACCAGGACGTGATTGAGCCATGCGAACGAGCTCACATATGAAGTTAAACGGGGCAAAGCCCGCGGGTACAGCTAGTCTTATTATAAATGTGAAAGATTGTGTGTTTTTTGTTTGTGTGTTTGTTTGTTTGAAGTTCAATCACGCATTGACTACTGGACAGTGTTTGGGCTGAAATATGGCAAGATGATAGCTTACATTCCCGATTAACATCATATTCTTATCTTAAAAATCCTTTCGGGCTCCGCCCCAGTGGCTCTGTAGTTCCCCATGTTAACCTTATGAGGATTCATATTTAAAGGGAATAAAAGAATTTATTCAGCTGTTTAAAATAAAAAGGCTTGTTCTGTGTTATGCAATAGCATTTAAGTTATAAGATTTACCAACAGGGTGCAGCACTATTATTTTTTTGTATTTATGAAAACATCTAATATAATTTGAGCTAAGCAGAAACAAAAAAAAAATGTGATATGCAATGAGAACGGTCAAAGAAGGATTGATTAAAGTTATGTTTATGTTTTAAATTTCATAAATAATTTGTGA